TCTTGTGAAGGAAGTCCCCAGAGTCCCTCACCTGCCAGCTGCATGCCCAGTGCAGGTCCCGATCAGGTACCCAATAAAAAGTGCACAGAGGAATGAACAGGGAGCAGTCACACCCTAGCACCTGCACCCAGTAGGGCACAGGACACCCCCCAAACACACCCTATACCACCATACCTCAGGGCCTTTATTCATGCAGTGCGTTCCCTGACCTACAATTACCTCCTTCCTTTCACCCATCCAAATCCTACTCACTCTTCAGGGCCCAGTTCAAATGTCACCTCCTCCTTGAAGCCTTCTTCAGAAAAGATGCTTTCTTTCTCACATTCTCAAAGTGCTTTGACTGGATGGACCTCATTTCTGGAAAGACCTCATTTCTCCATGTGTCTGAGTCCCCTGCTCACCCAGGAGCCAGTGAGCCGAACCCTGTGTCTCAGGTGCTCTCCGCCAGCCTTCCCAGGGCGGCCCCTGTCACCTCAAGTGACACCTCTTCCAAGAAGCCTTCCCTGGCCCACCTGGCTAAAGCAAGTCTTCTTTGTTCTCTCTTGCTACAGATTTCCCCCCCTTTCATTCATCACAGCCCATAACTATTTTATTTATTTGCTCACTAACTTTTCGCCTCCGTCTTCTCCCATTCACCCACTCAGACTAAAAACTCATTCGCTTCTGTGTTTCCCAGCATCGGTGTGGGCTTGGCTCATAGATGGTACCCGATACATACAGATCTGCCTCAACTGACGATGGGGTTACATCCTGACAGACCCACTGCAAGTCGAAAATATTGTCAGTGGAAAACTCGCTTAATGCACCCAACGTACCACACAACATTGCTTACTCTCACTTACCTTAAATGTGCTCAGTTGAGCAACATCCTCTAACACGAAGCCTGTTATATCTCATGCAATTTATTGAATACTGTACTGAAAGCGGGGAAAAAATGGTTGCATGGGTACAGAATGGTTGTTCTTGCATCACTTGTCTGCCCTCACGATCGTGTGGCTGGCTGCCCAGCATAAGGAGAGAGTAGCAAACCAACTATCACCAGCCCAGAAAAAGATCAACATTCAAAATCTGAAGTACAATTTCTGCTGAATATGTCTCACTAGAGCACCAGTGGGAAGTTGAAAAAATTGTAAGTCGGACCATGGTAAGTCGAGCCTTCTATATTTGCTGGAGGGCTAAGCGGCACACAGAAGGTACTTAATATATGTTTGTTGAGCGGTTGACTGGCTTCTCCAGGCCCCTCCCTTCTCTACTACGCCCCGCACACAGTAGGCAGCAGAGGAGGTTGGTCAGATTGAGTCAGTTTGGCCTGCTGTTTTGTGAAACGCTCAGGGCACTGGAAACTCCCAACCTTTTGTTAACCACCACTGTCTGTCCCCCCCACCCCTTCACCCTCCCAGGATGGCTGCCACTCCCCTGAGGACTCATCTACTTACTTGTCATCTGTCAAAGAGACTTTATCCGGCCTTATCTTCTCCAATTGTATTAACAAAGCAATGGATTTTTTCCTATCAAGTTATGCCTCAATATTAAATGGATCTTCCCAAACCACACTCTCCTGTAGATTCTGCTAATGACCCCTTCCATCCCCGAGGGTGGATGTTCCCGGGCTGGGCCTGGGGTCACCGATCTGGCTTGAAGTCCTGTTTGTCTGACCAAGGGTATGTTACCACACCACGTGTCTGAGCTAATGGTCCTGTTACAGAAACATGAGGGCTGCTTGTTTAAAAATGTTGATTCTTAGGGCGCCTGGATAGCTCAATTGGTTGAGCATCTGACTCTTGATTTTGGCCCAGGTCATGGTCCCAGGGTTGTGGGATCGAGCCCTGCATCAGGCTCTGCGTTGAGCGTGGACCCTGCTTAAGATTCTCTTCGTCTCTTCCTCTGCCCCTCTCCCCTGCTTGTGCTCTCTCTCCTCCAAATAAAAAAAAAAAAACAATACAGTAAAAATGCTGATTCTTGGCCCATCAGAGCCACAGAATCAGACCTGGGGTAGAGGTTTGCACCAGACCCAGGAATCTGCATTTTAACTAACTTCCCAGTGGATTCTGAGGCAGAGTCAAGGCCAAGAATCCCTGAATTGGAGACTGGAGACTGAGAAAGCATGTCGCCAACCACTCAGATGTGAGCTGTAGCCACCAGCCCTACATATCCCGGGCCAGTGGGACCAGTGCCTCTGGGACTTGCGCTGGAGTAGCCCCACATCTGGGTGGCCACAGCACAGGCCACGGCATCGGCTGGTGTCCTTCTGGCTTCCTGAGCTCATTAATCACACCCTGACTGGCCTCCACTCACACCCAGTGGCTGGCTGGGCTAGGCTGGGCCTGGGGCAGGCAGGCTGGCCGTAGGTCTGGGGAGGTGGGCTGGAGGGGGGCGGGGCCTACTTGCACGGAGAAGCTCGGACTTGGAGCACCTGCCTGTGCCAGGCGGCCTCTATGATGGCCTCAGTGACCCCACCTCCTGGCACTCACACCTCACGTAATTCCCTCTCCTGGAGTGTGGGCTGAACTGGGTGACTGGCTTTTAACAAAGAAAATACAGCAGAAGCAATGAGATGTCACTTCTGAGATGAGGTCATAAAAAGACTGTGGTTTCTG